AGTACATATTGTTAATAACTTCATTATCAATTATTTTTAACATTCAAATCCGATTAAATATTCGACTTTCTACAAACATATCAGAAATTTATGTTTCCACACATTTGTTATTTTAGGCAGCCAGTTATTATTGCACCAGATTGGGTTTTGAACCATTTGCTTACCGTGGTTTAGAAACGGGTTCTAGGCACGTTGCATCGCATGTCGTTAAACAAAATCAGGTAAATACTAGACAAATTTTTATAGAGCATATTTTATTGTTCAAATATATGTATATTCCATAATATGGATAACAAAATAATGAATAAACAGTTCCAAATGTATAACTTCAAATATTATTTTAAAACAGACAAATATTTTACTTGTCTATTTACTTACAGATTATTTTTGTATTCGAATCAGCTTATGAACCAAACAATAAAGAAATGGCAAACCATCTTTCTCAACACGGAGATGGTGTTCGTGACATTGCTTTTAAAGTCGAAGACATAGACATTATTGTAAAGGTATGTTAGAAACATAAGTCTTCATAAGTGTACAAATAAAACTATCACAATTGTTTTAGATCGCGAAAGATAGAGGAGCAGTAATAATAAAAGATATATGGGAAGAAAGCGATGAATATGGTGTTGTAAAATTTGCTACCATAAGGACTGTGAGTATTTTGTATATGAGGACAGAAAATAATGAAATAATATAGAAGATATTTTCATCAACAATTTTTTATTTGCCAGTATGGGGATACATACCATACACTTATAGACAGATCAAAGTATAAGGGATCTTTTCTACCGGGATTTCAAAGACTACCGGAAGCTGCGTTTACAAAGAATTTGTACGTAAATTAAAACCAATCATATTGTCTTCTTAAAGAACGATATTAACAATATAATTTTGTCATTTAGACCAAAAGTAGGATTAAATTTTGTGGATCACATTGTTGGTAATCAACCTGATAAACAAATGGAACCTGTTGCGAAATGGTATATGAATTGTTAAAAAAAATTTAAGAAACTAAAGGAAACTTATATGGTTGGTTTTCTTTGTACAAAAATTGCTCATGTTTAGGTATGAGCAATGTTTGCAATTTCATCGGTTCTGGTCGGTAGATGATACTCAGTTACACACAGAATATTCTGCTCTGCGTTCTATTGTTATGACGAATTGGGAGGAAACCGTGAAAATACCTATTAACGAACCCGCTCCTGGCAAGAAACGTTCTCAGATTCAAGAATACGTTGAATACTATGGAGGAGCAGGAGTGCAACACATTGCTCTTAATACAAATGATATAATTACGGCTGTAAGTTTCGTTTCTAATAACGCTTTCTTAAATTCATATAAGACATAAATTTGATACCAAGAATTTCTGTTATTTTACAGATAACAAATTTGCATGCCAGAGGCATAGAATTCCTAGATGTTCCCGACACTTATTATGACATGTTACGAAATCGTTTAAAAAGCAGTAGTGTATACATTTTGGAAGATCTTAATATACTTCAGGTAGAGGCATCAAAAGGAAAATTTTACACAAAGTATGCTTGGTGATGAGCATTTATTAATATTGAATATTAAATATTGTGATTTCAGAAATTAAAAATTTTAATCGATTATGATGAAAATGGGTATCTTTTACAAATATTTACTAAAAACATGCAAGATCGGCCGACTCTTTTCATAGAAATCATTCAAAGACGTAATCACAACGTAAGTACTTCAATAACAATTAATTCTTAATTACATTAAATTGTACGGCAGTATATTTAAAATTGACTACAAATCTTTTGCAGTTAAGATTATTAAAATTATATTTATTTTATTCTTATTATAGGGATTTGGAGCTGGAAATTTCCAAGCACTATTCGAAGCTATTGAAATGGAACAAGCTAAACGTGG